ACCCTGAGCCGGTGAGATTTGAACCGCTGACCTGCTGATCTAGCAGTAGCCTGCAGTGCTGCTTTTAACCACTGCGCCACCTTGGCTCATTCCAAACTTCTGTCCAGAAAAGTCTGGATGAGCCAGGAAGGCAAAGGTAGAACATGAGCAAAGGTTGGCAAGAGAGGCAAAATTTAGGAAGACGAATCCCTTCAAATATGTCAATAGCAAGAAAACGTCAATGGAGGTGATAGGCCGATGGCTGATTTTAGATGGCAAAAACTGAGTAAGTGACCAGGAGAAACCAGGAGACCTCAGATGCAGCTTTGTCTCTGTGGATAATGATTTCAGGCGCATGGAAAGAAGGAACACATAAAGGGAGTGTGCAGCTGAATAAAGATGTGGGCTAGGGTCTTCTGGTTAAGGCAGATGCTTTCAAGACCCCAGACCCTCCAGAAACACACCCCAGAAGATAGAAGAAGCTGACGAAAGAGTCCATTTTTCCCAGGTGAAATTGCTCAAATCCACTCACAGTTGGAGACCAAGCAGAGCACAGCATTGGTGTCGGTGTGCTTCCATGTGCCCATTCAAGGTGTCAGTTATTACCTTTAAAGACCATCTCATGGGACCGAGTGACTTGGAGTCTTATCTCTACCCAGTCTGGTCAAAAGAGGAAAGTATGTTGTAGACCCTGCTGGTTAAAAGAATTTTGGCTGGTGAGATCTGGGGAGAGAATCCTCTCTGCTGCTGCCCCGGCTCTATGGAACACCTTGCCTCTCTTTCTGGCTCTAAAAACCATGAATGACATAGAACATAGAATAACAGCATGGAGGAAGGAGGGGACCTTGGAGGTCTTCTAGTCCAATCCCTTGCTCAAGCATAAGACCTTATGCTACTCTGGTCAAATGGTTCTCTTCTTCAAAACCTCCAGTGATGGGACACCCACAATTTCTGGCTCCTTGTAGGTTGGATGGACCTTTCTTTAATGATCTTCTAGCTATCACTTCTTATCCTGCCTTCAGGTGCTTAGGAGAATAGGTTGATTCCTCTCCCCTCTCTGTGACAGCCCCTCAAATAGGACTTTTTCCTATCGCCTGAATCATCAACCCACTGACAGTTGAGTTGCTGCTGCTGCCAAAACCCCTCAGGTTCACCCCATATTTCATTGCAGTCTATTGAAACCCAAAATTACCTCCTCACTCAGGCCACCAATAGACATTCCACCTCCACCTGCCATGACTGAAGGTGAACAACATTTCAAAATTAAGGAAATTCTGGACTCACGCACACACCATGGCACCACACAATACCTACTTGCCTGGAAACACTTTCCCCCATCGCAGAATGAGTGGGTGGCTAAGAATCATGTTAGAACCCCTCAACTTACTGAAAAGATTTCATGCACAATACCCTGATAAACCCAAATAACTCATTGCTCTGCCTTCTCATTGTGTTTTCCAGGTGGACTTCTCCTATTCCCAGGGAAGCAGCATGTCAGGTCCCATAGATTCCTATGGGGATGCTGCCATTCTGGTGGGGAGGGGGCCTGGTTTCATTCCTTAGTTTATAGCCTTTTTCCTAGTGCCTATCTATCCTGTAGTTTGATTTACCTTCTTGGGAATGTAAAAGGGGGAGGGCCATCTGTTTTGTCTTAGCTCCAGAGCCTCCAGCCTAAGAACAGCTTCTTACCACCTTCTCAGCCTGCGATCCTCAAAACAACCGCACCTGCGGATTGGCCTATTCAATACCAGACTGAGGGGGGGGGGGGTTTCTAACCACTTTAACCTAATGGAATTGGACGGGAATCTTCAGATCATGCTTTCAGCCGCCCAGAGTCTCTAGGGAGTGGGCGGCATATACAAATGCTAATAAACCTTGAACCTTGAAACCTTTCTTTATCTTTCTATCACTTTCCTTTCAATAATAGTTTCTGTTTGAAATGCTAAGTGCTTCAAGCATTCTACTTTCTTGAGCGGAGGGGAGAGGCAAGTCCTTACAGGAAGACTGCTATCATGTCACCCCTAGTTCTTCTTTGTTAGACTAGACTAGAATAGACCGGACTAGAGCTGGAAGGGACCTTGGAGGTCCTCTAGTCCAGTCCCATGCTCAAGCAGGAGAACCTGTCCGATACCATTTCAGACAAGTGACTGCCTAGTCTCTTAAAAACTTCCAGTGATGGAGTGCCCATGATTTCCGAAGGCAAGCTGTTCCAATGGTTAATTGTCCTCACTGTTAGGAAGTTTCTCCTTAATTCCAGATTGCTTCTCTTTTTAATTAGTTTCCAACCATTGTTTCTTCTCCTGCCCTCCGATATGCTTTGGAGAATAATTTGATCCCCTCTTCTTTGTGGCAGCCCCTCAAATATTGGAATACTGCTATAATATCACTGCTAATTCTTCTTCTCCTTAGACTAGCCAAACCAGGCCTTTGATCATCTGGGCCACCGTGTAGCAGAGTTTAATGTGTGGCTAAGGGGGTGGTGTAAAAGGGAAGGCTTTGGTTTTATTAGAGCCGAGGTGGCGCAGTGGTTAGGGTGCAGTACTGAAGGCCGCTACAGCTGACTGTTATCTGCAGTTC